AAAATAAGAAAACAAATTAGATGTATAACAACTCAAATTAGACGTAGCAGTCTACATTTTAATTTGATAGATTTATTTCTATTTTAAAACAATTGAATTTAGTTTTTTTTAGTATGCAAAATGTTTATATCTTTGACTGTTTCTTTCCCAATAAATAATAAAAAAAGTAAAGTTCTCCCTTTTCTACCATATAATGTAATTGTATTTCTATTCATATACTATTCCTTGCTCACTTAAAGGGGACCCTATCGATGCAAATCCACTTTTGTACGTCTTTTAGAATATACATGAAATATGTGGTACCCCGGTGTTCCAGGGAACTCACCAAGTGTCAGAAAACACAACCCTCTCTATTTTCCTCCATACCCAAATCTCTAAAAAAGGGGCTGCAACGGATCTGATACAGACTGATCCAGATTTGAACACTTCTATGTCGTCAACAGAAGTGGGCGCTACGGCTATTGGGCCAACTTTCCACCTATCAGGGGAATGTGGGGTTGGGCCACGGCCGGCCATTGCCGCTCGAAAGCGCTGGAGACGCTGTAGTACATATGCAGGCCTGTAGTGGCGCGTGTAGTCTGCCACAAAAGGCAGCGAAGAAGACTTCCCGCCCATAGTTACCATGGTTACCCTTCTGTTTATTCTCCGCTGTGGCTTTTTTCTCCCTCCCGAGGCAAGCGTTTGCTCCCGCTGCTTTAATTCAATGCAATCCCTCCCCGTCGAGGCAAGCACTGTAATTCTCTCCGGTTAGTCCACCAGCAGATGACAAACACCCACCTCTCCGCCTCTTCCAAGGAACGAGGGGACCGTGCGGCAGAGTTTCAGTTTCTTTTGCCGGTCAAGATGTCCGTAAATCTTCCGGACAAAATTAGAAAAGTGCCGGTCAAAGGTCTTCTTCGTTATTTATTGAGCTTTAAAACAAATGAATAACGACTCTATAGGCCTATAATAATATAATAAAACCATAGACTGTATATATAAATAAAACACGGAGGACGGAGATCTTTTTTTCTCCCCCTCTTGACTTGATCAGAGCACGGCCTCCCTCTCCTGCAGGGGGGCGTGGTCAGCAGAATCAGACCCGTAGACAGCAAACAGCACATAGAGCAAAATGAAGCATGGCTAAAATGCATGATCTGTTTGGTATTTTGAAAACAGAAACGTATATAGGTATGGCCCTACAATATATCATTTAAATATAGCATGATAGGTCCACTTTAAGGTAAATCATATCTTACTTTTACATTGTGTTAGCTGTAATTGGCCCTTCAGACATATTCTTATCTTTAAATGAAGCTCAGCGCAAGTTCTTTCAGGAAGACTGGGATACATTCACTCCGCAGCTGCTTACAATCAGCTCATCACGGGCTTCGTGTTAACCTATTACATTCACCTCAATCTCAGCAGCTAATCATCGTGCTGCAGCCAAACTTTAAAATGGTTGTCCTCTCTCCTGCAGTCAGCTGTGATTTCAGGTTTTCATGCTGCCGCCCGCCTCCTCCGAATCCACCTCCTTTCATCACATCCAGTGTCAGGAGAGCTAATCCAAAGACCTCATCACATCCCCTCTTCATCCCATCTCCTCATCAAATCCAGATCTTCAGCATCATCACCAGTGTCTAGACCCCGGGGGGTTCCCTATATGCTCACGGCTGCATTTCCCCCTTTAGATATACGATTTCAGGATCGGGGTCTAATCGCCAAAGACTTAACATTCATCATATGGCATGTGTGAATAAATGTTCTTTAACAAAATGAAGTCTCTCCTGATTGAACTGTCAATACTTTACTAGTTTACTTGTTAGTCCTGTTTAATTTCTATTTTGTGATGTTTATAGTTTGTTTATGCTCTACTCTTTTTCACATGCCTTGTTTTCATGCTGCTGTGACGAAAACAGTGGCTGAATTGGTTATCTTATTCATGCATTTCAATTAATTGTGTTAATCTTTGTGAGTACATAACATGTCTGTACCTTTCTCCCCCAAAAAATGATGATACAAATACTTTAAGTTTTCCCACAAGTTCTCCCTTGTATTGCCAGCTAAAATCTCGCCTAGGGCTGCAAATTGTCTAGAGCCGGCCCTGTGTGTGTGTGTGTGTGTGTGTGTGTGTGTGTGTGTGTGTGTGTGTGTGTGTGTGTGTGTGTGTGTGTGTGTGTGTGTGTGTGTGTGTGTGTGTGTGTGTGTGTGTGTGTGTGTGTGTGTGTGTGTGTGTGTGTGTGTGTGTGTGTGTGTGTGTGTGTGTGTGTGTGTGTGTGTGTGCGTAGATGCGTAGATGCAGCGGACAGACAGGTCTCAATCTCAATCTCAATCTTTATTTATTTATATAGCACATTTAAAACAACCTTCAGTTGACCAAAGTGCTGTACAGGCAATACATATTAAATAACACAATGGGAGTACAATAATAAAACAATAATTAAAAACATGATAAAAAGCACAATAACTAGAAACATATATTTTTTTAAAAACACATACAAATGTAAAAATGTAATGTTCAACTAGTATTAAATCTCAGTTGGTTTGGTGTCCTATGCTTACTTTTAATACTTGTAAATACAACTTTTGGCCCGTAATTCAGCCTTCCTCGACATTGAGAAACACCCTGTGAGTTGCTCTTGGGCAGAAGAGCACACAGGATGTCACCCATTTTTGTGACGTTTTGTTTATCCATTAAATGCTAGATTGTGTCTGTTTATATCATTAATACTACACCTTTTTGTTTAAACCAAATAGATTTTTATTACCCATCTTAAAACTATATTGGGTAAATAAAATCCGTATTTTTGCACCTAGACCTGCATTCCTGATTTTTGCGTACCCTGGTCCTTCACACCGTTTATAATCTTAAAAATTAGACATTTTGTGTTTAAAGGGCCCATGTCATGCTTTTCCGGTTATTACCCGTCTCCTTGTGTGTTATGAAGGTTTTTCTGCATGTAAACGGTCTGCAGAGTCACAAACCCTCAAAGTACACCCTGTAGGGAGTACAACTCTAACACAGAAAATACCTGTCTATGCTGCCCCAGAACGCCTCGTTGGACATTTCTCATTTTCCATTGTTTGCTTCCTGGGTTCTGTGACGTGTGAACACCCAAATCAACAACAAATGAGCGGATTGGCCCAAATGGACCAATCCGCGGAGCACCTCACACACCATGATCCCTTGGCTAACTAACAGGGAGTCCCCATTGACTTGCATAGAGCTTGAACGCTGGTAATAGACGAGTTGGGATGGCGGAGAAATGCTCTCTGCAGACCCATTCTCACAGCGTTATAAACCTTTTTCTTACTCAATATCAAGCCACACTTATTGTTTTTACTTCGGCTGTGAGTGTTTGAGTGTGCTCAGGATGAGTTTCGCTTGTTCTCGCTGTATCGCCGACCCGGAAACCTGTCCGCTCCTCGCAGCAGCTCGCAGCAGCTCGCAGCAGCGGCGAGCAGCAACGAGCCTCGCTACGTCCCGACCAATCAGAGCACACTGGGCTCACAGGGAGGGGGGGGGGCAGGAGCTCCAACAAGCCATTTAGGACAGAGAGTGAATACACATACTATACAGAGATGCTGTATGAGAAACCAATGTGATTTTGGAAAATTGCACAATATAAATCTATTCTAGTAGACCTCAACAATGGAAATATGATCAGTAGAAATGGCCATGACATGGGACCTTTAAAAGATGTTCCCAACTGAGCAGGTTATGTTTGTCCAGGATTTTGCAATGGTGGTATAGCTTAGGTTTTCTGTCCAAAACTTTGAGAGCTTGTTTGTGAAGTGATAGGATAATTGTCTGTATTCATATTTTTTTATTTCAAAACATTTCCCACATTGGGATCAATATAGTACATATTTTTATTGAATTAAATGAGTAGAATACAAATAATAATAAGTGAAAAAGTAGTAGGCCTAATATCATATGAGAGATATATATAACTATATTGAGTTTGTTAGTGTGTGATCTCTTTGGATATGTGATTGTTTAAATAAATGATAAGAATAAGTAGCGTTTCCCCTCAAGTTCCCCCTTATCTTGGAAACAGCCATCCTGAGTCCTAAAAAAAGTATACAAATTACTTTGTGCTAACTTATAATGTAGAAGTATATATTCTTTACCTTGTGTTTGATTAATTAATGTTGTTTTAATACTATTTCTATTTCAAACATTTCCCAAAATTGGGATCTGATTTGAATTAAATTAGTAAAAAAGTAGTTGCCTCCTAGATTTACATATATATTTTATATTTGTATAAGATAGATAGATAGATAGATAGATAGATAGATAGATAGAGATAGATAGATAGATAGATAGACTAGATAGATAGATAGATAGATATGATAGATAGATAGATAGATAGATAGATTAGATAGAATAGATGGATAGATAGATAATAGATAGAGAGAGAGAGAGAGAGAGATAGGTAGGTAGATAGAGAGAGAGAGATAGATAGAGAGAGAGATGGATGATGGATGGATGATAGAGAGAGAGAGAGAGAGAGAGATAGATAGAGAGAGAGAGAGAGATAGATAGATAGATAGATAGATAGATAGATAGATAGATAGATAGATAGATAGATAGATAGATAGATAGATAGATAGATAGATAGATAGATAGATAGATAGATATATATATATAGGTACTTTATTGATCCCAATTTGGGAAATGTTTGCGTTGCATCAGCATAAAAAACAAGGCAATGTACATGAGAGAAATTAAGACACAAGAAATAAACAGTCCAAAATATTTAAATAGCATTTATATATATATATATATATACGTGAATGTGGAAAATACAACATAGAATTACGAAATACGTAGTTTTATTTTTAGGTTTGAATTAACTATATCGATATTGTTAGTGTGTGAACTCTTTGGATATTTAATTATTTTAATAAATAATAAAAACAAGTTAAGTTTCCCCTTTAGTTCTCCCTTAAGTTCTCCCTTATCTACCACCGGAAACATCCGCCCTGAGTCTGACTTCCCTCGCGCTCAGCCATTAGCTGGCTGCTCGGAGTGATTGACAGTCAGCAGAGGTTTACACGGCCGGTCCTGCTCACTCGCTCGGTTTGTTATCGTACAGCGAAGAAACTGCAAGCATGGCGAGCCAACAGAGAGCCCAGTCACAGACAAGAAGAAGAGCACCGTGTATCGGATTATTGAGGATGATATTTATTGCTTTTATTCACATGACGCGGGCCAATAAACAAGGTTTGTAACTTAGCTGTTAGCATTAGCATCAGAGCTAACTTCCGTAGACATGTTTCCCTCAAGTGTGCGGGCGTTGAGGTTACCTCTACGGGCCAACTTTAACACAGCTAACCTTAAAGCCCCGGTGACACTGCTAAAATATAATCATTCAGCTTTGACATTAGCAAAGTGCCATTTTAAGTGATACAAAGCTTAGAAAGTGCTACCTTTTAGCTAGCAATATGTGGCCTTTTCAGTTAGCTTCGTTTGTAGCTTGTTGTCATGTTGTCATCACGTCCTTATATGGTTAAGTTAGGCTACCTAATAAACACAAAATAACATAGTATTTAAGCATCATAGCTAGCACTAATCATAGCTTAAATCAGCTACTGTGTGGTCTTAATGTGTGTCAGTTAAGAGACAACATTTTAAGATTAGACATTGCACATTAATTACAAGTCAAGTAAAATAGGAAATATAAAAACAGCTCAGATATACATATCGATAGTTAAGGATATCTATAGAGTATATCTATGGAATACACAATATTGTACTTAATAATGATAATAATAAGCTGTATTGGTATAGCACGTCTCATGCACCAAAGTGCTTTGACAACAAGGCAAACATCACAATTTAAAACACAACAAGAGTTTGACTTCAGACGTTAAAACCTTTTAGTATGTAATAATATGACAGTTTAATTCACCCAACATCAGAGCAAATGTACTGTATGTGTAAACCTGGCAATGAACTCGATATACAGAATTGAAAGCAGTGTTCATGATATGTGTACATATGTTAACATCGTATACGATCTACTTTTAAGTTGGCAGAATAATCCGTTTTAAATCTAATTGAGGGGACCCCCTGAGAACGATATATACAAATGAGTGAATTGGTCTTTTTGAAAAGGATAAAACTGAGTGAGTTCTGGTGAAGCGAAGAGCAACTCAACTTGAAACAGTATCTCAAACTACTTCCTCTTACTAGACTCAATTTAAGGAAATGTGTGCATCAGTCAGGTGATGTTTTGTAAACGTGGCTTAGCTCAGTTTTGGCTGTGAACCCTGACTGTACACATGGTGTTGTGTTATCTATCCAGGGGAGTGAAGTGTTCAGCTGTCAGATCCACTGATCATGTCAGGTCACAGTGATAAGTCCACCAATCGTGAGTGCACAGCTGCTGCAGGCCACGTCCAGGATTAGCTTCTGTGCCAACTCTGAAATGTGCCTTTTAAAAATTGTTTACATTGGTGCCTGTATGCACTTGCAATACAATCTGAGCATCAATGGAGGTGTGTGATCCTAAAGCATTGAAGATAATCTTGAAATATGCCTATAAAGTTGATGTGCAAAATGTCATAGCTGGATGAAAAACCATGCATATTAAGAGATAGCATGTTTTGTGATGATATGAGTTAGCTACATGGTAAAGCATATTTCGTATGCTCTGTCAACTTAAAAATGTTCATTGGTTCCTCTATGCACTTGAAACAATCTGAACATGTATAGTGATAAATTATTTGCAGTAAGACACTAAAGCACTGACGATATTCTTGAAGTATTTTTTATTGTAGTAAAATCCTCTACCAAGATATAGGTAATTAAATCGTATCTCCAGACCATAACCATTAACATCATGGTAGCATGTTATCTGTTAATTCAATAAATAATAAGTCTATACGAAATAGCTTAATAGTAAAGCCTGTGTGCATTCAATACGTCAAGTTTTAGCTTATGTGCCAACTTTGTAATGTGCCTTTTGAATTGTTAATAATGGTTACTTTATCCAACAGTGAATGAGTGTTAAAAGCAGCCAAAAGCACGATGATTTTCTAGAAATATTTGTACGTATTGCAGCTGGGCAAAGTCTTCTCTTATGTTCATATACTACTGTACACTGTATATGTTTAAGTGTGATGTTAAAACAAAACGGCAACCCCTTCAAATATTTGTACATCAAATTTGTTCTGAAATTGAAGGTGGTATGTGCCTTTTTACTATCAAATAAAAGTAATAGAAAATGACATTTCAAGCATCACATAGCTTGAAAATAACGAGATGGAGGTGCTAGTGCTGAGTAAACTAAAGAAGTTAAAGACGAATCGGGATGTGGTGAGACTAATACGCTCATATCAAGCAGGCAGAGGACATGACCACAAATACAAGCAAATAAGATGCAAATATAGGAGGTGATCTCATATAAAGCAGGTAGTATACCCTTAAAAGAACAACCTCTGTTTTCTATCGTTTGAAAGTAAAATCTGTGGGTTTTTAACGGACAAGAGGAGACAGTTTGAGCCTCTGTGTGAGACACAGTAAGCAGAAGTATAGTCTAACTGAAATGAAACTGAGAAGTGAAGTTTAACCACCACAGGAAGTTATTTGGCAAACACTGTGAAGTCGCACTATCACGCCTCTAACCAGCCTGAACACTGCAAGCTTAGACCGTCAACAAGATCGCTGCTTCCTTTACATACAATATATCTGTTTGGAAGATCACTGTGGTGCTTACACGGGTAAAAAAACATACTTACGTTGACTAGTCGATTAATCAATGCTTCCCTTGCTAGTCTGCACAAGAAACGTATTATTTAAACGGTTATTATTACCAATTACATACTGGTTTGCTTTCCTAGTGAATTGTACCATTAAAAAAAAACCAGTATGTGCCTGCTACCAATGTTAACGAAGCGTAGGTTGACATGCTCAATGTTTTACCTAAATGCTGATTGCTTGTCTTACTTTTAGCAAGGTTTAATACTTTCAAAGGCATCATTAATTGTGAATCAAGGCCGTAATAGGTATTAAAATGTCCTTAATAATCTTGCATAACAGGAATGGTTTCATAAGGCCTGATATTGCATTGTAAAATCAAAAAACAGATCTCAATAGCAGAAACATGTGGTCTGAAAATGAACCAGAGTGGCCGTTAAAAAGTCTTAACTTTAACTGTAGGAACCCGGTTTGAGAGTAGTCGACTAGTCTAAGTAGAAACTTCTGTTTTAACTTCAGGGAAATTAGTCAGTAAGAAAATCCCTTTGTTTAAGATGCTTTGAGAACCACAAAGGTATTTTTCTTTAAGGCATTTTTAAACGTTTGTCTTATTCTTTGTTTGCATTGTGGTTTTTGTAAATTATCCTACTGTAAAGAATCGAAAAACACTTAAGTTTCACTTTCTGCAGACGTTCATTCAGGTACTCTTAATCAAGGGTACTTTCACCATGGCTCATATCCTTTATTTAGTCTTGTATATTCCCCTGAGATACAGTACTAGAAACTAAGTTATTCTCTCCTCTCTATGCTACCAAAAAAGCTTACTTGAGCTTAGAGAATATCACTTCTAACCCGAGGAGAAGCGCACCCATGATAGAAGAACTCTATGCCAGCTGTGTGTAATGTCAGCAGTATGATCTAAAGAGGAAATGAAACTGAAGTGTTGCATCCACTGATCATATCACTTAGATCTGCGGCCGATGCTTCTTCTTAACCCTAAAGCACACGTTATAACTCGTGGAAGTTACACGGTGCTGTGAACATGAGGGCGGTTTAACTGGGATTTGGTTTGTGTCCGTTGGAAAGCTTCTCAATAGAGTGAAAGTGTAATAAAATGCTGATTATGGAGTTAGATTTTTACGCTGTACAAGCTCGTTGATTCATACTTAGAGAGAGTTGTATGACAGCCAATGCAGGCGAGAAACATCCAGGTCTGAACATGCTGTGGATAATCGTGTGTTAGGTCCATTGGTTAAAAGTAAATCTGTATTTTTGAGACCAGCAAGAATAGAAACGTGGTGATTCTCTGAGACTACACTGGTACATTTACGGGGATAAAACAAAAGTTATGTATTCTCTGAGATTATAAAACCATAAATTCAGGACTTTAATACTGAAAAAATTATCTAAGATTAAAGTTTCTGGCTCAAATAATCGATGAGAGGAAAGTCTGAACTCTGTGACTTTTATCTGAGAGATTGTCTTGGTTTTTGTCACGCAGATTTATGATTATATCGTTTTAGAGAATTGCCACTTTTTCCATTAATTAGTGAGTTTTTCAACTAAATATATAATATATAGGGAGGCGTGTGGCGCAGTGGGCTAGTGCGTTGGGGTTCGGATCAGGGGAGCACAGGTTCAAACCCCACTGCAGTCAGCATGTCGTTGTGTCCCTGAGACACTTCACCCCAAATTGCTCCTTTTATTGCCCACAGTATTGAGTATGTAAGTCACTTTGGATAAAAGTGTCTAACAAGTGACATGTCATGTAATGTAATATCCGATAATCTCTGAGAATAATATATTGTGTGTTACAAATCTACAATTGTGTCCTCCTCATACATTTTCTCTTTAAGTATTACCCTCCTCCTTGTCTCCGTGATCTATTTTTTTCCTGCACATGTACACACACGCCGTCGTAGATTTCTAAGAATTTACTATCCTGTTAAAGTGTTTGACGAGTCAATCTGAACCTCACAGTAACTTTGTGTTCATATTACAGAGATTTCATTAGTAGATTCAATGTTTTTTTTCTTTTTGCAAACTATCGATCAACCCCCCCAAACCAAGTGGATTGAAATTTGAGAAATCTGTACACTTTTCCTGTCTGCTCTGACAAGAGATTAAAGTTCACATACGGAGTTATCTATCCCAGTAATATAACCTTCTACTTCAGGAAGATATAACAACTGCTAGCTGGTTTATTTTGTAGGAGGAGTTGCACAAAGCTATTCTTAGATATGACCAATTCTTCTATAGTTTCACCTTCCAGTTGGTGTCGTAAATAATCGGGGGCAACGGGCAAAATGCACCCTAAATGATGGCAGAGTGTCCACGGGGTCTTAAAAAGTATTAAAAGTTGATCAATTTAGCGAAAATGAAGGCTATTAAAAAGTATGAAACGGCATTTTCCAAGGTATTCCATTTTGTAGCTTGTTTTCAATAAGTATATGAATTGTCCAAAGAGGTTGTATTCTACAGTCTGCCTGAATGTAATCATTGCGTAGGTGTGTAGTGTGATTCTGTGTAGTTTATTTATGGCATCCCGTTGGATTTGACGTCATCTGAACAGGACATCGCACGCTCACTGCTTGATAGCGCGAAGGTCCGTTTACGCCGGTTGTTAAACAACATCGTTATGGGGAAATGCAAGTCTGCGTCCAAATGGTTGGAAGATAAGGAGGAAGGACAATCAATACTGTATATAGTCAATGTGAGGTAAAGTGTGTCGCCAAGGTAACCGGTTAGAACTCAAAGTGGCGATGAGGTCTTAAAATGTATGGAAAGGGTCTTAAAAAAAGGTCTTAAAAGGTTTTACATTTGACTTCAGGATTCCTGCTTATACCCTGGATGTGTTTTCACTGATGCTTCACTGAACACAATTAATGGGGCTACACAAAAGTGTTATTGTGAATTAAATGTCAAACATTCGGGGGTAAAATGACCCTAAATTGTACCGCATTTTTTTATCTACCTTGTCTCCAGTCTTGCATCGAGTATTCAAAAGTGTTCAATGTGTAAAAGTCTGCTTTGAATGATGATGATGATGATGATTAAACTAATTTGCATTTCTGTGTTTTTTTTTTTTACAGCATTCATTCAGTCAGACACAATTCTAGAAGTTTTACATTTTGGCGAGGGAAGCCTTTTACAGGTAAGTGCTGCTAATACATTTTTCTCCAGTTTGTTGTTGCAATTAAAAATTAAACCCAGAAACATTCACAGCATCACAGAGCAGAACGTGTCAGAAAGAATGTGGTTTAAATGTAATCAAGTAGTTCAATCACATTTTAATAATTGCTTCTATCTCTGTTTCTTTCTGCAGGCAGAGTCTGACATCGATTTTAGTTTATATCACCAACAAAGGTAACATTCTATTCTTTCCCTTCACACATATCCTCCACTCTTTGGCAAATATGTTTATGTAGTGTCGTTAATCCTGGGCGCAGTCAGTTATGTGTTAGGTGTTGTTTTTGTACCTACTATTCCTGGATTGCACTCTTTTGTTGTGTGTTGCTACGCGGTAAATGAGCTTTAGCAGAAAAGCCTCAAGAATTCTTGAAATGAGTCGTCACGGCAAAACAAAAGCATCACACTAAATGATGCAAACAAAGTAGAGAACAAGAGAGATGCTGCTGTAACCAATGCATTACATCAGCAGGAGAGGACTCTTTAAAGTAGAGACACTACATACTGATATACACCTGAACATCAGCAGGAGAGGACTCTTTAAAGTAGAGACACTACATACTGATATACACCTGAACATCAGCAAGAGAGGACTCTTTAAAGTAGAGACACTACATACTGATATACACCTGATCATCAGCAGGAGAGGACTCTTTAAAGTAGAGACACTACATACTGATATACACCTTAACATGAGCAGGAGAGGACTCTTTAAAGTAGAGACACTACATACTGATATACACCTGAACATCAGCAGGAGAGGACTCTTTAAAGTAGAGACACTACATACTGATATACACCTGAACATCAGCAGGAGAGGACTCTTTAAAGTAGAGACACTACATACTGATATACACCTGAACATCAGCAGGAGAGGACTCTTTAAAGTAGAGACACTACATACTGATATACACCTGAACATCAGCAGGAGAGGACTCTTTAAAGTAGAGACACTACATACTGATATACACCTGAACATCAGCAGGAGAGCACTCTTTAAAGTAGAGACACTACATACTGATATACACCTGAACATCAGCAGGAGAGCACTCTTTAAAGTAGAGACACTACATACTGATATACATCTGAACATCAGCAGGAGAGCACTCTTTAAAGTAGAGACACTACATACTGATATACACCTGAACATCAGCAGGAGAGGACTCTTTATTAAAGTAGAGACACTACATACTGATATACATCTGAACATCAGCAGGAGAGCACTCTTTAAAGTAGAGACACTACATACTGATATACACCTGAACATCAGCAGGAGAGCACTCTTTAAAGTAGATACACTACATACTGATATACACCTGAACATCAGCAGGAGAGGACTCTTTATTAAAGTAGAGACACTACATACTGATATACACCTGAACATCAGCAGGAGAGGACTCTTTAAAGTAGAGACATTACATACTGATATACACCTGAACATCAGCAGGAGAGGACTCTTTAAAGTAGAGACACTACATACTGATATACACCTGAACATCAGCAGGAGAGCACTCTTTAAAGTAGAGACACTACATACTGATATACACCTGAACATCAGCAGGAGAGCACTCTTTAAAGTAGAGACACTACATACTGATATACATCTGAACATCAGCAGGAGAGCACTCTTTAAAGTAGAGACACTACATACTGATATACACCTGAACATCAGCAGGAGAGGACTCTTTATTAAAGTAGAGACACTACATACTGATATACACCTGAACATCAGCAGGAGAGGACTCTTTAAAGTAGAGACACTACATACTGATATACACCTGGAAATGAGCAGGAGAGGACTCTTTAAAGTAGAGACACTACATACTGATATGAACCTGGAAATGAGCAGGAGAGGACTCTTTAAAGTAGAGACACTACATACTGATATACACCTGGAAATGAGCAGGAGAGGACTCTTTAAAGTAGAGACACTACATACTGATATGAACCTGGAAATGAGCAGGAGAGGACTCTTTAAAGTAGAGACACTACATACTGATATGAACCTGGAAATGAGCAGGAGAGGACTCTTTAAAGTAGAGACACTACATACTGATATACACCTGAACATCAGCAGGAGAGGACTCTTTAAAGTAGAGACACTACATACTGATATACACCTGAACATCAGCAGGAGAGGACTCTTTAAAGTAGAGACACTACATACTGATATACACCTGGAAATGAGCAGGAGAGGACTCTTTAAAGTAGAGACACTACATACTGATATGAACCTGGAAATGAGCAGGAGAGGACTCTTTAGGAACCAGAAATAGAAATAGAAGCTTGAGCATCATAATCACAAGAAAATATTGTTAAAGTTTGGTTGTAATACGATGTCAATTAGGGAAAGCAGGATGCAAAGATCAGACCCATATGACCCGTCAGCTCTCTGCAACATGTGCTGTTAATGACATGTTGTCAGGGAAGCCTCTCTCTATGTATGTGTGTGTCAGTGTGTGTGTCAGTGTGTGTGTCACCTGTTGCTCCACCACAAAGTGAACTTGCCTTCTGCCACAGCTACTTGGGAGAGTTTAGATTTAGCCGGACAGACCGCAGAATGAGCTAATGTGAGTTTGTAGGTCTTTACTCACACTGACTTGTTAACGGTGGAGTTTCTCTGGAGAGTTTTCTTTCCTCTGTGCGATGCAAGGGTTTAAAGACGGAGGGTTTCGTGTGTATGTACACAATGTAAAAGACCCCTGTGGTCATTGTGTTATTTGTGACATTGGGCTTTGTAAATACAAATGGCGTAGTGCTTTAAAAAAAAAAAATGTTTTAATTCGTACAATTCTGTTTCATTTGATTTTTTTTATTCCAGGTTTTTTTTTTTAATCCTTTTGGTTCAGTTTTACAGAAAATATATTTGATATCTTTCGTTAAATATATTTTGGAACAAGCCTGGAGGAATCACGAGCATTTTAGAAAGCATGTATTGTGTTAGATATCCTCAGGCTAAATATGAACAAGGCAATTTTACAAAAATGTGTCTTCAGACGACTTCTCACAGAGCCCCACGGTAAAACACCAACACAGAGAGAGAAGGAGCACTAAACGTTTGTATTTGTTTATTAAAGTAAGGTCAATGCACATTCATTAACATGAACTCTTGACTGCATCATGTAAATGTGCCACATTTAGCCATAGAGGCTAATTTCCATCTGCAGTCCCTGGCAGTATTTATTTTGCTATGTATATAAATGTCATGTTCTTAAATGTTGGATGTGATGGACTACGGATGGAAACTAGCTCAAAGCTAAAATCCGGCATGTTTACGTTTTAAAGCATTATTTGTTTTAAATGTTCATCAATGTGCACTGTCCCTCTTCAAATAAACGATTAAATGAAATGAAATGGCATTAAAAAAAAAAACATGCAAGTTTATTTATATAGCACCTTTCAACACAAGGCAATTCAAAGTGCACAACGAGATCTTACAAGAGCACAAAGAAACATATAAGCACAATTGAGTCAAGATTGCAGCACATATGAAGCACATATACCCAATTAAAAGGCCTTGTATACAAACCCATTAACACACAACACACAAAATCACATTTAGGGAGTGAGGCATGTGGCGCAGTGGATAGAGCCTTGGTGTTGGGATCAGGGGAGCACAGGTTCAAACCCCGCTGCAGTCAGTTGTGTCCCTGAGACACTTCCCCCCAAATGGCTCCCGTGGGGATTGTCCACAGTATTGAGTATGTAAGTCGCTTTGGATAAACGCGTCTAACAAGTAACATGTCATTTAAAATGATTGGGAAATTGCAGATTTTTTAAAATTGCGTCCACATTTGAGCACATTTCGTAATCCTCTCAGATGATTCCCTTTTTGTAAATCATATTGTGCAATTACCCCCAGTACTAACGAGTGTCTCTGGTTACGTCACATTGCATCCTTGTGTTCAGGATTGCTTTAATGCCTCAGTACAAACACAAGAGTGCATCTCGGAGCTTAGACAACAACAACAACAACGCCTAGCTAATAAGTGGATAATGAGCCCGATTTAATGTCTGCATTCTGCACAGGTTTTGCAGTGATATGTTAAGGCAACGTGTCAATATCCAACAGGTAGAACAGCCAGAACAAGAGCACACTGTTTCCAAGAAAAGAGACGTGTAGCAGTTCACACATTTGTTTTCGTGTCGTGGCTTCTACCTGAAATCAATACAGTGTCCTTACTTTACACTTTTGTGTGTTTTGTCGGCATTCAGCGAGCCTTTAATGTTTGTACAGTATGTTCTAATCCATAAAAGGGTTATCTCCCACAGGCATAGCATGACCACTCCCTCCAGTTGGGGGGGGGAAGGGTATTTTTGCAGTTTGACTCACTGGTGTTTCAGTTTTTTTTTTATATCTTGTGTGTGTGTGTGTGTATGTGTGTGTGTGTGTGTGTGTGTGTGTGTGTGTGTGTGTGTGTGTGTGTGTGTGTGTGTGTGTGTGTGTGTGTGTGTAGTGTGGTGTGTGTGTGTGTGTGTGTGTGTGTGTGTGTGTGTGTGTGTGTGTGTGTGTGTGTGTGTGTGTGTGTGTGTGTGTGTGTGTGTGTGTGTGTGTGTGTGTAGTGTGTGTGTGTGTGTGTGTGTGTGTGTGTGTGTGGTGTGTGTGTGTGTGTGTGTGTGTGTGTGTGTGTGTGTGTGTGGTGTGTGTGTGTGATGTGTGTGTGTGTGTGTGTGTGTGTGTGTGTGTGTGTGTGTGTGTGTGTGTGTGTGTGTGTGTGTGTGTGTGTGTGTGTGTGTGTGTGTGTGTGTGTGTGTGTGTGTGTGTGTTTTAGTGAGGAACATTTTCCACAGGAACTGAAATGCTTTTTTTAAGCATTTGAGGAATACCTCCCTATAAAGTGATCCTTTGTGTATCATTGACTCACCCTCTGTTGGAGGAAACCTCTACGATAAACAAATAATCAAACAACTAAAAAGAAGTCTTGAATAAAATGGACACGCATTTAACCGTGGCTAAACTATATTTAAAACATCCGTTTACACACTCTCTCATAACTTGTATATCAAGTCTCATTTGTCCAGTCATACACTACTTCACAAACACATGACTATCACAAAAGCGTTACTGTTAAAACACTTTTGCATACACACTGGCAGTTGCTTCTAGTGCATGCGAATCTCAGTGTTTACATAGTGCAGTTCTATTGAAAATGCACGTGTTTGTATGTTTTTTTATCAACATAATGTTCATTAATTTCAATTCTTAAGACTTATTTTTTGCATGTTTTTGATTCTTTATTCACCGTGGAGACATGTGGTAAAGCCAAAGTTTGCTTCACCAATTCAAGGTTAAACGTGGTTCATTATAGATAGATACATAGTCAGAGAGCTCAGTGCAGTCCAAAGTAATCACTGATAAAGAGGCACCTTTTATCATAAAACAGACAAGAACGCATCGATGTTCAATAGATAGTTGTATGTATAGTACGATTGATAGATAGTCAGATAGATAGTGTATTAGAAAGCAACACTGTTTGTGGTCATTGTAATGGTACATCGTGGGTAGCGCTGTGCAGTCCAAAGTAACCATCAATGTGAAATAGATAGATAATGGATAGATAGTCAGATAGATACTGTATTAGAAAACAACACCCAATGTTTATGGTAATTGTAATGGTACAGCATGTTAGCGCAGTGCAGTCCAAAGGTCTAACTGATAGAGACACACCTTGATCATTAAACACAGACAAAAAGGAAACGCATTAAAGTGAAATAATCCCCACAAACGATCACTTTGTGGTGACGTATTCCTTTAAGGTGGCAGTGGACACAGTGCAGGTCTGAGGCCAAGAGGCTCTGCTCCTCCAGTTACTCCCTGACATTCAACACATTATCTCTGAAGCGCCCGGGGCCAAGAATTCACAGCCAGGATCCGTCTGAATCCTTAATCCTGTGAGAATCGTGTCAGCGGTCGTTGTATTAATGTGAGAAGTGAGGGCAGGAGAAGCAGTGCACGATGGTCCCTGGGCTCTGTGTGGATTCCCGTCGGGGCCTCAGGGGATGGAAACCCGGCCCTTTTCTCTGCTATCGGAGCGCGCCACACCTTTTGTCTGCGCTGTGTACACGTAGCCCGGGTAGTAAAACGGTGGAATTGAACTCTGGGTAATTGCCTGACCCTGGGGTGATGTTAGAGTAATTACACGTGAGTGAGCTTCTCGTGGATAGCCTCACATCAACTCTGATAATATTTAATATTTAATTCTTTAAAATATTTCAGCTGTAGTGCTTCCTTGCATTTCATATTTTGATTGTGTGTTTAGTTCATTTGTTTGTGCTTACATGGATCAACAGTTCAGCTTTTAACGCCCATTTCTAGACAGGTTAAAGTACACAAGAAAATGCCTATGCACATTTAGTAATAGGGATAATAAAAATGAAGTTAAGTAATACATTAATAAATAAAAATAAATATGAATTGAAGATATAAAAGTCAAATCTATTCACTCAAAATTAAGTTTAAAAAAAATATACAAGTATACATAAAAAGGCGTGAAAACTCCATAAATAAAATTAACAATTAAAAAATATATATATTTAAAAATGCCATACTCATTTAAATCTGAATTCTTTTGGGCTATTTTTATTTGTTTAATCGTCACTGTTTTTTACTTCTTTATTGGTGCATTAAAAAAAAAAGTGTGTGTGTGAATAAAATATAAAAACTTGAAGGCTTGTAAAAGAAACCCAACTATATAATGAAACTAAATACAATGGTATATGTTTGCCACCAATTCACAATCTTAAAAAATAGTTTGAAATATAGAAAATAAACTAATATAGTTTGCATACAAAAAGGTTTATAGTTTGTTCTCGGTAAGAATTGAGGTGTTGGCACGGTTACGAGCCACACCTGCATCGCTGAATAATTTCTGTTTCCTGGAGATTTACATAAAGGCTCTCATTACAGTTCTTCTGTTGCACATTTCATGGAGCAGCAGCTTCCCTTTAGGGGACGGTCCTCTCTATTGTTCAGATCCACCTGTTGCTGAACAGGTTTGTCGGGTTTTACGATGAGTGTGACTCCGACTAGGCGATGCTACCGGCGCTCACAAGTAGTTTTCCATCGTGTGAGAGTAACATCGTGAAGAGACGGGCTTTGATTTTTTTTATTCTAACCATGGATATTCATGGATATTTTTTTAACACATGGGAATAATGGAGTCCCATGGCTGTCTTAATGTGTTAACAAAACAAGCCTCAGCGCAGACTGTTGTGTCTTGTGTGTTTACTCATTTGTTTAGATGCACACAAACATGGATATATTTTTTTTCCCTCATCTTCTGTTGCTGCTGTCACATCTTCCTGTGTCTCTCAGCACGTCCCCGCAACGTGGGAACTGCCGCCCTATACGGTTCGAACCTCCAATGTTGGACTTTCACGAACAGTGAGTATTACATTATTATTTTTTAACACTTTATTTATTGGTTTTCCCCACACATAAGACAATAACAGGAGAACATACAGAGTACAAATGCAGGTGCTATATTCAATTAAACCAATAATGACAAACCAATAATGATAATAACATAAAAAGACCATTACACTAATTCATTGTGTCGTTTTTGTTTAATCTGTGTTTTTGTATTTCACATTGTTGGAGTCACTTTCTATGATCAATTTGTTTCCACCTTCTGTAACGCCCCGTCCATTGTGCTTTATAAACACACTTATTATGCGTCACAATCACCCCATAGCCGGTGTAATTATAATTATAAGCGCTTCATTGCAATAATCATTATATTAGGGAGGCGTGTGGTGCAGTGGGTTGAGCGTTGGTGTTCAGATCAGGGGGGTCACAGGTTCAAACCCCACTGCAGTCAGCATGTCGTTGTGTCCCTGAGACACTTCACCCCAAATTGCTCCTGTGGGGATTGCTCACAGTATTGAGTATGTAAGTCGCTTTGGATAAAAGCGTCTAACAAGTGACATGTAATGTAATGTAACCACAAATACATTTCAAGCATTATAGTCACTATACGTCAAGCTGCTTATCAATCTATACCCATGCTCATTGTTTGATTTAAATACAGATTATAATGCATTATTAAACATTATATTGCATTCCAGTTATGGGAGTTATAATATGATATGAGCCTTGCTGCAAAATACAAAATAAATTCCAACAATTATGAAGTGTTAGGATATTTAACCTTATAAATCCTTTAAAATGGGTTTTGGATTTTGTTATAACACATTATTGATATCTATGAGTGCTTATATCTGTTCTTATATCTTCTTATAGCACTTCGTAAGTATTTCTATAACACATTTTTTACACGAGCGTCATGACAAATGTTATTTTTTTATGACATTATTGCAATAATTTGCCTTATTGTTCATTTCTTTCAAATAATCTAATTTATTTAAGCATTATAATCATTATACATTGATCTGGTTATAATTCTCTCTTTGTGCGTTAGTAAAGTGAAACATCTGTTTGTAATACATTAGAAAAAACAACTTGGCAATTATGATATGATATGATCCTTGCAACAACAACAACAACAACAATGTCAGGGAGTGACTGTCAACCATGAAGTCTATGATACTAAATAATTATAAAATGCTTCATAAAGATTTTTCCCATTAAGTATCATTTATTTATATATAAACAAGTAATTTGACAGTACTTTAAGCAGATTACAGCACATTATAAGTTTGTTTATAATGCATTTTATACATGGGCGTCAGAAAGTCTTACCTATATTGCAATAATTTGCCCTTTTGTTATTTTTCCTTTTTCAAATTAATCTCATTTATTGGACTTATTTTCATTTCAAACCTTTATTTAACGAGGTAGGTCCCATTTTAGATCATTGCTCTCTTTTTCAAGGGAGACCTGCAGCAAGTAGGTTACACATGAAACGTAACATCAAACAATAAAGGACATCATATTTACAGGGCCACATTTACATACCTATCGACATTTACAAGCACCAACAGTATCAAAGAGCATTGCACCTATCCGAGCTTTAAAAACATGCAGTGGAACCAAATTGCAATTATTTTTGCAGACTGTTCCGAGCAAGAGAAGCTGTGCACATAAAAGCTTTCTTACCTAAGTCAGTCCTTGCACTTGGCACATGTAGCAAAACCACATCATGTGATCTCAGGCAATAGCTACCTGCAACTCTCTGGCCGTTTCTCAATGTCGAGTACACCTGCTGCAGAGCCACTATTTCAAGTAATAATAATAATGGGTTCCATTTATAAAGCACTTCATATTTGATTTCAAATCCCGAAGTGCTACAAGCAGTGAGCATGAACAGTATAAATAGACATTACACAACACGGTAGAATTAATAAAAAGCAATACAAAAAATAAAAGGGTGGTAAAAAGGTCTAGGCAAAGGCTCTTTTGAAGAGATGGGTTTTGAGGCCTTTTTTAAAAGCCTCCACGGTCTGTGGTGCTCTCATGTGGTCGGGGAGAGCATTCCACAGACTGGGAGCAGCCGAGCAGAAGGCCCGGTCTCCCATAGTACGGAGCTTAGTCCTGGGGGGGTCTGAGGAGGTTGGAGTTGCTGGAGCGGGTGGTCCGCAAGGAGGTATGGGTGGTGAGGAGTTCCTTGAGGTAGGGAGGGGCAGTTCCATGGACACACTGGTGGGTGAGGACGGAGACCTTGAATTCGCGAGTAGAGTATACTACATCATCGAATGCTGGGCATTTAACATTAATTTAAACAGTCCTTCGGCGCCACTCGATGACGTAGTATACTTGAAATAGTGGCTCTGCAGCAGGTATACTCGACATTGAGAAACGGCCACTGTGTGATCAGAGAGCAGATGTAAGATGGGAGTTTACCCAACATGGCTTTGTATATGAACATGTACCAGTGACTGAGCCTCCGTACAGTAAGTGAAGGCAAACCTGCCCTGGCATACAGGGTACAGTGATGAGTAAGTGCTTTACAGTTAGTAACAAATATCAATATCGATTAATTTATAATTAAACGATATTTTTAACAGTGGACAGTTTACTGCTCACACAGTCTGTCCTATAGCTCTTTATTTTTTAAAAGAAGTGAAGATGTTGGGTTGCTCTCAGGTGAATCACATCGTTGTGTCAACAGTAAATGAATCACCGAGGAAGCTCTTAACTCCGGGGCCAGACCCATTGGACCACATTCCTCCCTGCCGCTGGTTCACACCATGAATCAGCTTGTAAGGTTATTCATTGAGCAATGTTCAGATCACCATCACAACCAGCAACACACTCATCACTCAGGTGATCTAAAGTCAATTTATTCTGAGGTTGGGCCAATAAGAGACGAGCAGAACGACACACCCCTACGCAGACAAAACATGACTCCATGAGAAGCAACGAGAAACATTGAGAGGATATTAAACTGGCATGTATACATGTCAAAATGTGTGAACTCCAGGAACTAACAACATTTAAATGATATCCAATATCTTACATTGAAATCTAGGTTCAAATCAAGATGTAACCTCGACTTATATTTAAGCAATAGCTCACGACAGGCCGTGGTATATGCTCATTATATCACAGCTAAGGGGCGTGGTTCGGTCCGACGCGAAGCGGAGACCCCCTATAAAAGACCCCCTTTTATAAAACGGTTACCAAGTGTGGCAATATGAAAGAAAAATACACACTCTAATTTAAATAGTTTTTATTAGTAAATAATGATGTTCAAAATAAAATAGTCCCTCTGTTGCCTTCTGCACGAAACATAGTGCGAGGTGGTTGCTATGCAACAACACTAACAACAGCTAGCGAACATATTAGACAGAGAGCGTTGATCCATTATTTGGCTATTTATTTACATTAATGTGTATGTTGCCGTTTATTGTGCACCCACTGAAAACCTGTCCAGCATCAGTAGCATGGCTTACGTGGTTACTTGTATAGGCTGAGGTTGTTCTAGGCTGTTGCTTGGCGTGGCGAGAATATTGCTCCACTTTCTCCGGTCCCCGAGATTCGGCTTCCAGTAGCTCTGGAGAGAGCTTTCTCACCTGTGGCCACTAACGGTCATCATTTCTCTGCTTTGTTTCAAGACCTGCATCAGAAAGCTTTTGAATGGTGATACTTTTCCAGTTGGTCGACCTGCTCTTCACGTAGCTCTACATGTCGTCGTTTAGGTGCTTTTTGTTCTGGAGATAGGCACTCCTCAATCCACTCCTCCATAGTAGAACCCCCCCCCCCCCCCCCCCCCCCCCCCCCCCCCCCCCCCCCCCCCCCCCCCCCCCGGAGGTCGAAGTTAATCTTAAATGTTCTTGCGGACCTTTTTGATTACAGATTTGAAAACATCGTTGCTTGCTTTAAAAGTAGCACAATTCATTATGTCAAACCTTGGAAAGTATCTAGATATCCCTGCCCTAATGCCAAAGGAACTGCACACTGAATATGTTTTTGCCGTTTGATGTCTATGTCTGGACCGCTGCGTAAAAAGGAGGGTTTCTGCTCCGTTACTTCTCCGCTGCTTTCTTGTTCCAGTTTGAAAAGCAAACTGCAGGCAGTTTGCTTTTCGGCCCAACTGTATACTGTTTATCTCAGACGCGGAGGGATACTGAGTTGTTGTGAAAAGTAACTTACAATTCTACCCGTGGTATACGCTCAGTATACCACGGCTAAGAACCAATCAGATTGCTTGATTTTACTTGTCCGTTTTATAATAAAGATTAATCCATTAGGGACAAGAGTAAATGTGACTGCAATTGATCTGGAGATTACAGAAACATTATATATAGTCTTATCACATAGCTTAGTTGAATACTTGATTCTGATTGGTCAATTCAGAACATGTGAGACGTGGTTCATTTTGCTTTCTCTATAGAGTGGTGCAGTGATTGTAGATAATCTCTACAGGGTGTCCGCGGGGTCTTAAAAAGTATTAAAAGTTGATAAATCAATTTAGCGAAAATGAAGGCTATTAAAAAGTATTAAACGGCATTTTCCAAGGTATTACATTTTGTAGCTTGTTTCCAATAAATATATAAATGGTCCAAAGAGGTTGTATTCTACAGTCTGCCTGAATGTAATCATTGCGTAGGTGTGTAGTGTGATTCTGTGTAGTTTATTTATGGCATCCCGTTGGATTGGACGTCATCTGAACAGGACATCGCACGCTCACTGCTTGATAGCGCGCGAAGGTCCGTTTACGCCGGTTGTTAAACAACATCGTTATGGGGAAATGCAAGTCTGCGTCCAAATGGTTGGAAGATAAGGAGGAAGGACAATCAATACTGTATATAGTCAATGTGAGGTAAAGTGTGTCGCCAATGTAACCGGTTAAAACTCAAAGTGGCGATGAGGTCTTAAAATGTATGGAAAGGGTCTTAAAAAAGGTCTTAAAAGGTTTTACATTTGACTTCAGGATTCCTGCATATACCCTGCTATAGCAAAGAGGTTCAGCAGGAAAATCT